AGAAATATATATATATATTTAAATGTCCCAATGCCACTTTTTAAGACCAAGTACAAGTACTGGCCCTCATGTACTTGCCGATACCAATTACCAATACTTTCTCTAAAAAGGACAGGTGACATTTTTTCAAAAACAATACAGAGTATAGCCAATAGTGATTCCGAAGCATTACATGCATTGCTCCCAAATCACTTTGATTGGCTGCGGTCAAGGTGCTGTGTTTAAACACCACCTTTGACTGAGTGATCTTTGCCTCTTTCTCCTCACTAAGGAGAGAGACAGAGATCAGTGTTTTAGTCAGTTTTAGGGTTAGGTAAGATAAATAAACATTTGTTAGTAATTTGCTTGTTTGTAGGTCAGATATGTAAGTAGGTAGTAAGTTAAAAAAAAGTGTGTGCTTAGTAATTTGTTGGCAATTTAGTCTGTAGGTCAGTTAGTTACATAGGTAGATATGTAGTACGTTATGAAAAAAATGTGTTATTAATTTAGTCTGTAGGTCAGGTCGATAGGTAGTGTGTTGCTAAATTATGCACAAGTTTAGTTTGGAGGAGGCATATGCCATCTTAACAGCACTGACGCTGCATTGTTTTTTTATGCAGGTCAGTATACTGACACTTCCAGTGACATGTCATTGCTGCTGCACTTTTTCCACTAAAGGGACAGCAGCCACTGGCTTAATCACGCACATAAAAACACACATGGCCGTAAATCACACACATGTAGTACAAAGTACAATATATCCCCTCAAAGCACGCTCGGTATGGGATAAAGTTTTATCAACTTTGCGGGATCAAAAGTGGCTATACGTTTGCCTTCTGGGTATATGAGGGGAAAGATTGTCAGCTGGACCACCCCGGCTGTCCTCGATGTTAAGAGCCGGCGCTGGAGTAGGAGGCGGCGAGGAAAGGCGAGTCTATGACACACTACATTAGACCCCCCCTGGAGCTCCGCCTACAGCAGTGACACGACGCTCCTCCAGCCTGCCCAGAGGAACCCAGCCACCACGGAAGGTAACAAAAAAACAAAAACAAAACGCAAGCTTCGGCGCTAGGCATCGGGGCATTTTGACAAGTACTTGTCAAAATAGGATGAGGAAAGTCTACATACAAAGTGTTGCAGTTGGTGGTAAGCGAATCAGGCAGTTAACGGCACAGGGTCAGGAGCAAAAAGTCGGGCCAGGGATTGAAGGGTTCCCCCACAGAGTCCCTGAAAAATGTATGAAGGAGTCGTCACCTCCCAACTCAGGAACCTTCGGACCCCTCATCCAGGAGGGAACTCCGGATGAGCCAGGACAGGAGTCATCAAGCCCCGGGAAGTCAACGATTTATACTTAAGCCTTGTAGAATCCCATACTTTGAGCACCGGGGTGAGAAAGAAGGGTAACGTAGAGCTGGACGGCCGTTGCCGGGATGCAAGGGAGATTTGTTAGAGGAGACGGGGACAGTTCCCGCTCCAGGGAAACCCAAAGAGCCGGGTCCCTGGTGTCAAACCATTCTACCCAATGTGATAAATGAGTGGCTCTATAGTAGACCTCCAGGTCCGGGAGTGCCGCCCCACCTCGTTCCCTCCGCATTGTTAGGACTGTATATCGTATCCTTTGTTTGAGACACCTCCGTATGTAGCGTAGGACGGCAGACCGCAGTCTGCTGAAGAGGGCGGGAAGACGGATAGGGAGGGTTTGGAAGAGATAGAGACAGCGAGGGAGTAGGTTCATTTTAAAGAGGGCAATTCAGCCAAACCAAGTTACATAGTTACATAGTATTTGAGGTTGAATAAAGACATTAGTCCATCAAGTCCAACCTATTAGGATCTCATTCTAGGAGTACCTGTACCCCTGTATATTACCTGTACCCCTGTATATTACGTTCATCAAGTGTGATGAAGATTCATCCAAGTGAGGAGTGTACCCTCAACGCAGCGTAGTAAGGGGGCATAATTCAGAGAATAAAGAACTGCGAGGTCTGCCGGGATGCGGACCCCCAAATAAGTCAGGTAGCCGGATTTCAACGTAAAGGGGAAAGAACTTCGCGCAGTCCGCCTCAGCTTGGGTCAAGGAAACATTCAGTAGTTCACACTTCTGCAGGTTCACCCGATTGTTGGACAGGTGTCCAAAAAGTTTCAATTCCTCCATGAAGGAGGGAATGCCCACTACAGGATTTGAGAGGTAGGGAAGCAAGTCGTCCGCATAGAGGCCCAGTTTGTGGACTTGGCCACCTATCTGAAGTCCCCGGACGGAGTCATTGCCTCTAATCGCATTGGCTAAGTGCTCCATCACTAAGATATAGAGCAAGGGGCAAAAGGGGGCATCCCTGCCGGGTGCCGTTATGGATTGGAAACGAGGCCGACAAATTTCCGTTAGCCCGCAAACCCTAGCAAAGGGCCGGTGATACTATGCCATGATCATGTCAACAAACTTGGGGGGGAAGGCCCAAGTGCAATAGGGAGGCCTCCAGGAATGACCAGCTGATGCGGTCAAATGCTTTCTCAGCATCAACCGAGAACAAACAAAAGGGAAGGCCGTGGGAGTGTGAATAATGGATCAAAGTGATCGCGCGTTTGGTGTTATCCTTGGCACTGCGCCTGGGTACAAACACCACCTGATCCTTGTGAATAAGCTTCGGGATCAGATCGGTTAAGCGAATAAAATATAATTTTTTTAACAGTAAGTTAGGAAAATTGTTTTTAACCCAATTTTTTGGTCTTTTTTTCCTTCACATCATAAAAGTAAAAACCCACGTTTACTAAAACCCGCCGAGGCCCAGTTAAGGGAACTTGGGGGAAAACACGTCCCTTTCCGTCTTTGCTGTGGTTGCCCTGGACTATAAGAAAGCTCTGTTTTAAAACATTTCTTAAAAAGGAGAACTATGAGGTTAAGGCTTTTCCCCATAGTTCTCCTCAGGGTTACGGGAGGACACAAACTAGCGTCCTCCCGTCACCCTAGGCTCAGTATATAGGGAGCTACAGCTCGCGGGACTGTACAGAGACGCCGCCGCCGGAGCGGATCCCGACCTGGACGTCGGGATCGGCCCAGCTGCGTGAGTGACAGCTGGCTCTGCCTATCTAGAGGCAGAGCCAGCTGTACCCGCCCCCTCCCCCGTCCGTTCTGCCAGTCAGCGCTGGAGGATCGGAGCGGGGAGAGGGGAATCCAGCCCCTCCCCCTGTCACGGCAGAGAGCAGTGACAGGATCGAGAGGTGAGCGAACGCCGGTATGTGTTCCCTCACCTCCCGATCTACTGAGCCGACCTGTGACAGTCTCATTGTCACAGGTCGGCTAGAACTATGAGGCTGAGTGAAAAGCACCCCACCCCCCTCATAGTTCTCCTTTAACTTCATTCGGGGCTTGTGTGACGGAGTGTCCGTCAGTCAAAGTATCACTGTGCTGAAAAGTGGACAGGAAGGGGGGGGGGGACATATTGGCACTGAGGCGGTCAAAGGGCATTTTAGGTCTTGACTCGAGCTCGTCTCGGCCATATTTCTGGTAACGATCCCCGGACCACCCGGCATACCTGTCATGGAGTCAAAGAGCTGATTGGCCTCCAGGTCGGTGAAGGTGCTGCAGCAGTTGGGACACCTGAAGGACGCCCGGTTGGTGGAGTCCCTCTCGTCGGTCTCGATCCTGCGCCTCATGTGGTCCAGCTTGTACTTCACCACGTTGACCAGCAGGCGGTAGTTGATGAAGTAGTAGTTGTGCCGCGTGGTCTTGCCGTCCAGGGCGGTCTCCACCCGCATCCGGCATTTGATGAACTTGTCCCCCTTTAGGGTGTTGATGACGGAGCGCAGCTGCTTGCGGTCGAACTTCAGGAGCTCCAGCATGTCGTCCTCCTTCACGCAGGGGTTCCGGATCAGGATGTCCAGCGTCAGCGCGTGCTCCAGCCCGTAGAAGCCGCGCACCACGTACTTAGCCAGGCGCTTCAGCACGGCCGGGACTTCCGTCACAACCTCGGGGTCCGTCATGTCTCCTGAAATATGACCTGAGAGAGGGGACAGAATAAGAGAAACATGATTTTTACTGTTGTGTTCATATGGGGAGATTTGCTCTCACTTCCTGTCAGGACAGGAAGTTATGGCATAACTCTCCCACAGGCACATAGACAAAGAAAATGCATTCTCAGTATAGAGAGGAAAAGTTACACTTTCTGATAATGGTTTAGGCTCTTCTACAGCTTCTTGTCAAGGGAACTGCTTCCCCATTTCCTGCCCTGGTGTCACAGGGACAGGAAGTATGGGCAAATACCCCCAAATTGCATCACTCCTATAGGGTTCAATTGCCAGGTATTTTTAACTATCCGTGTCCCCACTGGGGTAATTGAAGCTCTCTTTGTCCTGTGTTACTGTGTGCATGGGATAGTGTGAGCCAAGCTCGTCAGCAGTGCAGGGAGCCTGGAGCAGCAGCTTCTCCAGAAAAGGTAAACATTGCAGGCATTCTCTCTATCTGGCACTGGCAGCTCACCGTCACCTGTTGCTGTAATGATAAGTCAGATGGAAATTATTCTGGGGTCCTTACCAGTAAAGAATACCTCCCAAGGTTCCCCTCAGCCCCGCACTCACCCCTCACAACGCTTTTCTTCCACCGAACACAGTGCTCTACCTGACCGCCCGGCGCACACAAGTGACGTTATTAAACCCGGCGCCATATTGGAAGAGGGCATGCGGCCAGTCTTTGGCACTCTGAGGGCAGGTCTGTTTTGCAGAGACGTCGGTGTGACAACCCTCCCGAGGGGGAAACAGATACCGCCAAAAACAACGGCCGACAACAGTTGGATCTTTCGATAGAACACCACCTAAGCTTCACACGGGTATGCGTGCCACCGCGGAACGCAACATGACGTATTTCCGTTCAGTTCCCCGCCCATCGCTGGAGGTGGGTCTGTACCTGGCCTGTCACAAGCGGACAGACTGCTATTGTCATAGTGACAACAGAGAGATCCGGGGAGCGGGGGCTGGGAGTCCGGGGCTGACATGGCGGCCCTGGATAGGGTGAAGGTGTTGGTGCTGGGGGACTCAGGTGAGGGGGGTACCGGGGGTAATATAAACTCTACAGAGACCAGCATATAATAATGTCCGAGACCAGTATGAAGTCAGTCCTTACAGAAAAGGACAGTGGGGGTTAAACTTGTACAACATTAACTGTCCTCATATCCATATAGAAGAATCATCTGTAAATTCATCAATATATAAATGTAACTTTGTATCTCCATCTGAGGAACACCAGACACTCCATGTTTTTACAGCAGAACCTTCCACAGCTCCTACATTTACTCAGCAACTACCGGGTGTCACTTTGACAGCTGGCAATTGCCAGTGTACGGGTTCCCAATCCCTACCAGGACTAACATGCGATCACTTCTCAGTAATTAAAAGCATCTAATTCATTCTAATCATTCTGCAATCAGTCCCTACAATGACTACACTATGTTACCAAAAGTATTGGGACGCCTTTACACGCACATGAATTTCAATGGCATCCCAGTCTTAGTCCGTAGGGTTCAGTATTAATTTGGCTCCGCCCTTTAATGGCCCCCCAGTCTTAGCCCGTAGGGTTCAGTATTGGGTTGGCTCCGCCCTTTGCAGCTATAACAGCTCCGCCTCTTCTGGGAAGGCGTCCACAAGGTTTAGGAGTGTGTCTATGGGAATGTTGGACCATTTGTGAGGTCAGGTACTGATGTTGGGGGAGGGGCTCGCAGTCTCCGCTCTAATTCATCCCAAAGGTGTTCTATGGGGTTGAGGTCAGGACTCTGTGCGGCCAGTCACGTTCCCCCCCCCAAACTCCCCCATCCGTTTCTTTATGGACCTTGCTTTGTGCACTGGTGCGCAGTCATGTTGGAACAGGAAGGGGCCGTCCCCAAACTCCTCCCACAAAGTTGGAAAACACCTGAGTCACATGATTTGGAGGGGCGCCTTTTGGCAATATAGTGTATACGCATCATCTAGTACATTTGGTCTATCACCAGTCCCTACGGGCACCATAGAAACGTTGACGATATCTCCCCTCCTGTATTCGATATGATATTTGCTCTCACTCGGATCTTTCTGTTCTCAGGGGTCGGGAAATCCTCCCTCGTCCATCTGTTGTGCCAGAACCAGGTTCTAGGGAACCCATCGTGGACTGTCGGCTGTTCGGCTGATGTGAGGGTGAGTCCCCGACCTGTTAAACAGAACCAGAATAACGAGCTGTACTCACCGGTACGCTAGTTGAGTCCTGCCACGGGTCAGGGGGAAGTGTGGGATAGGTGCGCATGTTCAGTAAACACTAATGTGGCAAAAAAACCATCCTGTAATCAGATCTCCCCTGACGGCTTCTTTGAAGTAATGAGCCGGGCCGGGCCTATGTGAAGGATGGCGCTCCACTCCCGGCGCTGACATTCACAACACAAGCTGACAGTTACTACTCCACTGCCCCATCTCATGCATAGATGGTGGCAGGTCCGCGCTCAGTATTCCTTATTACCTTAGAGAACCTGGCAGAGGAGAGGAGATCAGAGCTGGCACAAGGCTGAACGGCAGATTTGGGCATTTTTCCATCTTGCAGCTTTCGGAGGAGGGAAGGGGGGGGGTTCAGGCTCCTCCTGTCTGCACTGTTACACTGACAGGAGGAGAAAGAGGGTTGAAACGGGAGGACGCTAGTTTGTGTCCTCCCGTTACCCTTAGGAGAGGGCTTGATAGTGTGAGATCATCTTAGGCACCGCTGCCTCCAGGGCTGTAGGTACCATGGGGCGAGTGAGGCGCTCGCCTCAGGCGCAGCTGAGAGGGGGCGCAGCCAGGGCCGGCCTGACCGCGCCCCCTCGCACTTGTTGCCATGGACAAACACAGGGCGCCATTGGCAACAGGGGTGCCAGGCGGCCAACACAGCCGCGGCTCGGCAGGGAGAAGAGGATCGGCACAGGCTCCAGCTTCTTCTCGGATCCCCGCTGCCCTCCCCCACCTGTATGGGCAGAGGACTCTGGGAAGGGAAAGGTCAGGGGTCACCGATGATATTACCCCGATGCCCCCCCAACAGTGAAAAAAATACATACACTCACGCACACATATGCACACACATTACTACACATGTGCAAAGACTAAAAATGTGTTTCGGGCAAAATGAACGGATACTAAAAAATGTTTTCTTTAGTTTCGTCAAACGAAACAAATTTTTATGCTATTTTGGATTTGGCCTCCAGCGCATTCTGCGCATGCGCGCCGCCATCCTGGAGGCGGGTGGGGCGCATGAGGTCACATACCGCACACGTCTGTTGGGGGGCACACTTTGCTGTTCTTGTCTCGGCCGCAAAAGGAGCGAGCTACGGCTCTGGCTGCTAGTGAGATTCGGTGATGTCACTACTGCGCTGCTCACTGCTTTCCTTGCTGGAGGTTCTGACACGAGGAAGGAAATACGCTGCCGCTAGACGCCCCAAGATGGCCGCCTCCACACATGGACACTGTGCCTGAGGCATGGTAATTCCATAATGGGGTGATTGATCAACACTGCATGGAGACCACGGGCCATACTGGTGATTAGTCCTTTGGCCTCGGCTTCTGGGCACAGCCTCCAGAGGTCACTTCCTCTTTAAGGTTGATTCTTTTTCTATCCCAATTGTCTTTCAGCTTCACGAATACAAGGAGGGGACGCCAGAGGAGAAGACATTTTTTATCGAGCTCTGGGACGTCGGGGCATCGGTCGGCAGCGCCAGCAGTGTAAAAAAAGCCAGAGCCGCCTTTTACAACGGCTTTAACGGTGAGAATTCTCTAACACCCCACAGAGTCGGGATTTGTCATATATAAATCTGACCTCCATCCTTCCCTTCAGTCTTCTATGTGACCTCTGTCCTCCCCTTCAGTCTTCTATGTGACCTCCGTCCTCCCCTTCAGTCTTCTATGTGACCTCTGTCCTCCCCTTCAGTCTTCTATGTGACCTCCGGCCTTCCCTTCAGTCTTCTATCTGACCTCCATCCTTCCCTTCAGTCTTCTATCTGACCTCCGTCCTTCCCTTCAGTCTTCTATGTGACCTCCGTCCTTCCCTTCACTCTTCTATCTGACCTCCGTCCTTCCCTTCAGTCTTCTATCTGACCTCCGTCCTTCCCTTCAGTCTTCTATCTGACCTCCGTCCTTCCCTTCAGTCTTCTATCTGACCTCCGTCCTTCCCTTCAGTCTTCTATCTGACCTCCGTCCTTCCCTTCAGTCTTCTATCTGACCTCCGTCCTTCCCTTCAGTCTTCTATCTGACCTCCGTCCTTCCCTTCAGTCTTCTATCTGACCTCCGTCCTTCCCTTCAGTCTTCTATCTGACCTCCGTCCTTCCCTTCAGTCTTCTATCTGACCTCCGTCCTTCCCTTCAGTCTTCTATCTGACCTCCGTCCTTCCCTTCAGTCTTCTATCTGACCTCCGTCCTTCCCTTCAGTCTTCTATCTGACCTCCGTCCTTCCCTTCAGTCTTCTATCTGACCTCCGTCCTTCCCTTCAGTCTTCTATCTGACCTCCGTCCTTCCCTTCAGTCTTCTATCTGACCTCCGTCCTTCCCTTCAGTCTTCTATCTGACCTCCGTCCTTCCCTTCAGTCTTCTATCTGACCTCCGTCCTTCCCTTCAGTCTTCTATCTGACCTCCGTCCTTCCCTTCAGTCTTCTATCTGACCTCCGTCCTTCCCTTCAGTCTTCTATCTGACCTCCGTCCTTCCCTTCAGTCTTCTATCTGACCTCCGTCCTTCCCTTCAGTCTTCTATCTGACCTCCGTCCTTCCCTTCAGTCTTCTATCTGACCTCCGTCCTTCCCTTCAGTCTTCTATCTGACCTCCGTCCTTCCCTTCAGTCTTCTATCTGACCTCCGTCCTTCCCTTCAGTCTTCTATCTGACCTCCGTCCTTCCCTTCAGTCTTCTATCTGACCTCCGTCCTTCCCTTCAGTCTTCTATCTGACCTCCGTCCTTCCCTTCAGTCTTCTATCTGACCTCCGTCCTTCCCTTCAGTCTTCTATCTGACCTCCGTCCTTCCCTTCAGTCTTCTATCTGACCTCCGTCCTTCCCTTCAGTCTTCTATCTGACCTCCGTCCTTCCCTTCAGTCTTCTATCTGACCTCCGTCCTTCCCTTCAGTCTTCTATCTGACCTCCGTCCTTCCCTTCAGTCTTCTATCTGACCTCCGTCCTTCCCTTCAGTCTTCTATCTGACCTCTGTCCTTCCCTTCAGTCTTCTATCTGACCTCCGTCCTTCCCTTCAGTCTTCTATCTGACCTCCGTCCTTCCCTTCAGTCTTCTATCTGACCTCCGTCCTTCCCTTCAGTCTTCTATCTGACCTCCGTCCTTCCCTTCAGTCTTCTATCTGACCTCCGTCCTTCCCTTCAGTCTTCTATCTGACCTCCGTCCTTCCCTTCAGTCTTCTATCTGACCTCCGTCCTTCCCTTCAGTCTTCTATCTGACCTCCGTCCTTCCCTTCAGTCTTCTATCTGACCTCCGTCCTTCCCTTCAGTCTTCTATCTGACCTCCGGCCTTCCCTTCAGTCTTCTATCTGACCTCCATCCTTCCCTTCAGTCTTCTATCTGACCTCCATCCTTCCCTTCAGTCTTCTATGTGACCTCCGGCCTTCCCTTCAGTCTTCCATCTGACCTCCGTCCTTCCCTTTAGTCTTCTATCTGACCTCCGTCCTCCCCTTCAGTCTTCTATCTGACCTCCGGAAGGTTAAATATCAGATTAAACTTCAGCTTTATATTTGTGTTTGCAGGAATCCTCCTCGTCCACGACCTCACCAACAAGAAGTCCTCTCAGAATCTGCACCGCTGGCTGCTGGAGTCTCTCACCAAAGATCTACAGCCGACGGGTGTGCTGGTCACCGGGGGGTGAGTATGCCCCGCCCTCCTACCAGACCATTTCCTTTTCCATCCCAACCCTCACATGACACTTCCAAAGCCAAACCAGGACGGCGAGGGGCTGCAGACGGGAGGCCACCCAAAGCTGACGTCTGAGGTTCTGGTAGATGCCGGAGAGTTAAAGCGGACCTCCTTCTTATAACACCAGGCGCCGACTCAGCACACCGACCCCATCTATAGAATACCACTGTTGGGTGTGCCTACCTTGTAAGCTGGCATCAATCATTGAAAGGAGAGGCCTGTGTCCATGAGACAACCATCAATTCTAATCATTACACCCTCTGGCCCCATTCACATGTAGCGACATACCTTTGCAGCGGCCGGGATAGCGCGACTTTCGGGGCGACGGTAGCGCGACCTTCTCCGTCGGGCTCCATAGAAAAAAAGCAAAATCCGCCGAAAAAAGGGTCCTGTAGAAGCGACTTGCGACATGGAGCTAAGACAGCTCCATTGACGATCATTAGCCGGCGACTTCTCGCGATATCGCGCGGCAAAAATGCGCGATATCGCGGCGGAGATCGCGCGATAAGTCGCTACATGTGAACGGGGCCTCTGTGTGTATCACTCGTCTCTCACTGGATCCAGTGCCAGGGTCTGGCCACCTCCGGGTTTTACCCCAAGCAGCGGTGGCACCGCCAATCAGGAAACGGCTCTCCTTAGGAGCTCTGCCGCTAATTGGCACCCCCTAGATTGCGAATTGAATTGTGGAT